CTGAATGGTGCTCCTCCTTCAATGCTTTAAAAGCAAACTAAGTTACACTAGTTATCAGCTTCTGATAACTGATAACCTGATGTTATAAGAAATAATCCATTATTCCTCGTGGGCCTCATGGACAAATAACAAAAGTAGTGATGCTATTAAATGCAGAGAGAAAACAGCAATTAAAACAAGGGGTTTCAGACTTGTGTTGTACACATCTGTCAAATCTCACCTTTGTGGTTAAATCGTGGTGGAACTGTTTGTTAAAGAATTAGGAAAGCTGCGTCCCACAGAAAACAGGAAGTCCATGGAGGAAAGAGAGTCCCGTTTTTGTCATGTGACCATCTACTACTCTTTTTTCAAAATATGACTAAACTTTTATAGAGTTTATCTATAGATAAACTGTCTATAGAGCGATAGACTCTAGAACCCCACTAATATTCAGTAATTAAAGTGTTTGAATGCTGGAACTCTGCATTCTTATCATAGTCTATTGTTTGTGTTAAGTTTTCTATAAGGCAGAAGGATATTGAAAATGTGACTTCTTTGCCTGTTGCCTGCTGTTTAGATATCAATTGTTATCATCTTTCTAATTTGAACAGTTTTGTGAAGCAATGGTGCCAAGCAGTAAAAAACATGAAAAATGTGTACTATTATGGGTAGTTTGTGTGGTCCTATTTGATTTATTTTCTTCCGTGTAGAATATATCTGCTTTAATCAGAGATAGAGTGACTAACGTTTGCACGTTTTGTCAACAGAGTATAATATACTTTACAGCAAGTTCTCCCAAAATCCTTGACTGGATAAAAGACGAATCCATCCAAAAGATACTGCAGCCTTACGCAAAGTGGCATTATATTGAACGTGACCTCGCAATGTTTAACATTAACATAGATGAAGATTATGTTCCATGTCTCCAAGGAATAACAAGAGCTAGTTTCTGCAGTGTTTATCTGGACTGGATTCAGTTCTGTGCTAGAAAAAGGGTGGAGGTAAGCTTGCAGTTGTTTTTTTTTTTTTAACAGGAGTAGTTTTAATTCTTGGGATAGGAGTTCAATGATGCATGGTTACTCTTTTGCTTGCTCAGAATTAATACAATACAGTTTATTTCATTTGAGCTGTCAGATTTAACATAAAAGGAAAATACATGTTTTGTGGAACGGAAAAAAACATATTTTTCAGATTACCCTTGTGCAAAAACTGAGTTTTAAGGAGGGTTAGTCTTTGAATACGGAAACAGTTCCTTATTGTGCACACTCCCAACACTGTTAATTTCATCATCTCTAAAAAGCATGGATATAACAAAGTGTTCACATGAGTAATGCTGGAGCAGGCTCTGGTCAGGGAATGTCATCAGTGTTGCCAGTATTTGGGTATGTTTGCCAAACATTGGGGATGTTTGTATACCCTTTCCAAACATTTGCTCATGTTTGGGTAGTCTTCAAATGGCAGGGAAGTGCATCACGAACTCACTGCCAGTATAGGTCACTTCTGAGAGCTCGTAATTCAAGTGTGAACCGTGCCACAAAACCGTGTGAAATCACCTCGCCGCTCTAGAAGGTCAAGGGCAGGTTTGCAGCTACGCATTCACATGCTTTGAGCCACTGAGATTACTGACGGTCAGCAATCATTTGTCAAAAACGCCCTACTGTATTTCCATGGAATGCTCAAAATAGCCCAGAGGCAGAATACAGTTTCAAACAAGCATATTCCCTGGATTCAATTTTCTGATTATTGCTGATAATGGCAAAAAATGAGAAGTGTATCTTTCCTGGCCACCATGCACTGTTCTTTGTGGGTTTTTCTTTCAGGATCACTGAGTGCACATCCCATTTCCTACCACTGACCTTAGCTGGTATAATATCGCTGAACATTAATGTTTCTTCTCTACTTTGGTTCCTTCTCATGCCTCTAACCCTGAATACCGTTCCACCAGTTCCTCTGCATATCATTACATTGATACTGTTTTCATTGAATTGTCCTCTGTGCCTTTCCCACCATCTCCTCCTACTGGGAATATTTCATCTCTTTTCTTTCCCGTCTCCATGTCTCAGCTCCCAAGTTGTGACACACAAAGAATTGCACGGTGCAGAGAAAGCCACTGTTAAATGATGCTTTTTCACTTGTTATGTGGCCGAGACTTTCAAATAGAATATATGAATTTAGGGATGCCCAATAGACTTGAAATTTAGCAGAGTTAGACTTACAAAGGCAAATGAGTGCCTGCGCTAGTGTGCATACATATACTTGTATATTTTTTAATGTCTTTTTCTTTTACCTCTGATTTTGTAATTCACTAACTGCATAGAGGTAAAGTTCACGTAGGAGATGAGATGTAAAAATGCATCGCTGTACACATAGCCTTGAAAATAGGTGTAATTTATAGAAGGAGCTACATTTTCCATTGTATTTGGCTTCAGTTTGAGACAAAGAGAGCTGTGAGAAATTACCTGTTGCATGGACAAAAATAACAATCTGTATCCTAAAGATTCACATTCATGAGGGGTTGTTTCAGTTTTTCCTCCTTCTTGATAGCAAGGTTTTCTTTGCAAAGATTTCGGTAAAGAAACTCCTGAGATAGTAAATGTCAATGAAATGTTTTGACTGCTGTTAAAACGTGAGGTCAGTGTCATCAATGGTATACAATTTAGATATATACTGTTATTCACTAAAAGTGTTGTTATTCACTAAAAGTGTGTTCCTCCAAATTTTTCCAAATAGATTGTTCTTCTGGAGTCTGTGGGGGAGTTTCGTATGCACTGTGTCCCATGAAAAGAGGTTTGGCAGCCTCCAGCTGCAGTGTCTCTCAGCAATAAGGAATCTGCTCTGGTTTAGAATGTCAGACATGGAAAAACAAACAAATAAAAAAACCTACAAAAAACCCCACCACCACAAAAGCTCCCCTCCCTTGGGATCTCACCACCCGAGACTGTAATGTTCTGTTTCTAGCCAGTGGGCAAAATAAGCTTACACTTTGCAGAAAGCCTCTGATGGAAATGATCTTCCTTCTTGTTCTGTTTAATTGCAAAGAATGTTTTTGTGTCTAAGTCCAGCTACAAGCAAATTTTATGAATTTTACGATTTATAGTATTGCAGTGCTTTTAAGGATGGTATTTATTTGCATCTGGAATAACATGCTATTCTTAAAACCTTGTAGCACCTGGACAGTGATGAGGATTCTCCTCTAGTGACACTTTCCTTTGCCTTGTGTATACTGGGTCGAAGAGCTTTGGGAACGGCAGCTCACAATATGGCCATCAGGTAATTTTTAGGAATCCTTTTTCCTCATTTTAGCGCAAAGACCTGTTTGTCTTTTTTCACTTAATGTGGAACCTCAGCAGAAGATTAGATCAATGCAAAGTCTCTTTCCTCCATAAAATAATTTGTTTTCTGGCAATCCTGGAAATCTTTTACTTTGGTAATTTGCTTAATAACTAATATCAGTCTTTATTTCATGGGGCAAAGCAGGATTTTGCATTGAAAGAATAGGTACCGATGGTTATCACTTGTGTTCACTCATGCCTGGTCTGGCTACTGTAGTGCTTGCTTCCTCTGGAAGGGGAAGAAACCGTTAAGTATTCTGACATCTAGCTAGCTAAATAGTAATAAATCCATAAGGGTCCTCTCTTCCTCAGGGCAGTATTCCATGTTCCTTTTATCACTTCATTGTGGTGACTGAGGAAGGAGGAACCTCGCGTCTCTTGAGACTGCAGCTTTGTCTGTTCTCAGTCTACCTCACTCACTCATTCATTCATTCAAAACACTCCTTCCTAGAAAGTCTAGTTAATTAAAACATGCTTGGTTAAGTTTATTTCTGGATATGTGTTTCACCTTACATTTTCCCTAGGGATCCTTCCATTTTCTCTAGGAGTTCTGAGTTGTTTGGGTTTTATAAATACCACTTAATGCTGTTCTAAGTGTTCAGCCTGAGTTATTAATGTTATAGATAAGGCATTTTATTAATGAAATAATCTTTAGTAAAGTCTAACCTCTCTCCTAATTTTAGGTTTTTATTAGAGGTATTTGAACTCCTGTGTTCACAAAAGTTTAGTAACAGTAAAGAAGATTAGTAAATACACAGTCTCTAAGTGACCTTGCTGTGTTGGCACAAAACTACGAATAAAGCTAGCTAGCCCTCTATCAACATGGTCCTTAGAGAGGATTTGTCTTGCTAACAAGCAAACAAAGACAGCATGTGTGATTTTGAATGCATTTTCTGCTGTAAGATAAAACAGTCCTTTAAATATTCATTCTAGCTTTGTTATCTGTTGAGTCGTTTGTAATGTCTGTTTGTAACTTCCTCTTCAGTCAGTCACACAGAATGTTTGTGGCCCACATGCCTTACTTCTTGGTGTGCTGCTGCTTTCTGCTTTCTAAAGTGACTTTTGGTCCTCTCTTTTCTACTAGTCTTTGCACATTCTCTTCCTGTAGTAGTTTTCTTCTGGGTTGAGTTTCCTCTCCCTTCATTTCTATGCACTCGAATTAGTGTGATGTTCAGTAAGTCATTGATATTTCTAAAATTGCCCTATTTTTTTTGGATGATCCAAATTTTAGAGTTTGGGGACGTGATAGAAAAGTTGATGTGCATCTGTGATTTTTATTTGAGAAAAGACTAAAGTGAATTTGATCTGGGACTGCAGTAGGTATGTCACAGCGATATTAGAAATGCATCTAAAAATATCACAAAAGCTTCCTAAAACTGTCATCACATTGCATGTACTTTCCACAGGATCTTAAAATCTTCAGTACAATGTTTTGGCACTAGTACAGATACAATAGCAATGTCACCTATTTTTATTGGCTTCCATGGCCAGTAGCTAATCGAAAGAGATAATGTTATCAGAGACTTTCCAAAGCTTAACATGGAAAGTATGAATGTTGAGAATAATTATTTGCAAAGTCTTCTGTTAAGATTTTAAGAATAATTGCAGTAGTCAGCTCTACCATGTCTTTCTGAAATCTGGAAAATTACCATTGAACCACATAAGTTTCTCTCTTTTGGTGAGTGGACACTCCATGCTCGAAAATACTTTTCTTGGGGAGAAAAGGTCTGTAGAAGGGCAAAAATGCCGTAGTCATAAGCACTGCACGGCTCTATCCTTGTTTGTCTGCATCTGCTCTGTATAATCCTGTATCCTTAAGTCCTGATCTTTTTATTAAGAAAGTGCTCCAGGGCAGAATTGAATCATTGTATTTTTAAGTGTATTTTGTGACATAAAAGGGATTAAGTGGAAGCTTCTGTCAGTATCCTTTTCAGTGCTGCTACACAAAAGCTTTCCCTAGAAAAGTTTCACTGTGAAAAACTGTGTCACTTGCCCACCTTGTTAAATTACCTTTAATATATTTCAACTGTCAGAAAGATTTTAGGGAAAAAAAAGGAATCTGAGTAGCACAATTGAAGTTATAAATTGCTACAGCTACAAAACATGACCTTAGCTTGGTGAAAAACATTTATTCTTGTCTTAGAAAATTTATATATTTATTTTAATTGACAAAAACAATTTAGTAGAAATTATTAACTAAGGAGCAAGGTGGGAACACTGTCCCCTGACATCAGGCGGTCGCAGGTCTGCATTCAGTCAGATGGGAGAGCTTAAAGACCTCAGAAGCTGGAGGAGTTGTTCTTTAGGTGATGCTTTGCAGTCCTTTTCCTTGAAAAGGTGTCATGATATTTTGGGAACCTTTTGGAGCCTGCTGATGCTGAAGAGGCTTTTAGTTTTCTGCAGAGATGATGTTGGAACAGGTAATCCCACAGCCAGTTGTGTGCAGAAGGGGGATAGACTGCATGTACTGCATCCACTGTTGGGGGCTGGCTTACTTCGTAAGAGACTGGCGCTCCTAACACATGCTCTGTCACACTCAAAAGCTGGACTACAAAAACTTAGATTATTTAGATTACTCTGGTAGGCACTGAGAAATTACCTTGAACTTCATCTCAGGACTTTCTATTAATTCTGGCTGCAACACATCTTGTGTACAACATAGCTGGAGTTTGAGATGTAATGTCCAGATAGGCATTGTAGTCTTCTCCTCATGCTTAAGTCTATGACGTGTTTCAGATGCATCCAATGTGAGCAAACTAGCCAAGAATCTGTCCTCTGTGGTCCGTGTTTTGTTCTCAGGGGAAACTGTGCAGGTAGTAGGAAACTTTCTTGCAGGTAGTAGGAAACTTTCTCCAGACTAAGTGTAGCCCTTATTGTCTCTTGAGGAGTGACAGTTATCCAACTGCTGCACAGAAATATTAACGCAAAGGTAACGTGATACTGCAGAATTGAGATTCCAGTTTACATTGTGTATGTAAACTATCAATTTGCACTCATTTACACATGATTTTGTCTAATCTATTAATCAGTAAATGTCACTGTGTAAACCAAGATTTTAAATGCTCTTATATAATGTATGTAAATAATTATTCGGTGTACCTGTTCATGTAAATGTCAGTAGAAACCCAACATTAACACTAGATTACACAATAAATGCATTCATTAAGAAGGCAGAACATCGCTATGCAAATCATTTGCTTTTTTAAACTGTCATTAGGAGGCATCCTGCGCAAAATGCAATTTGAAGAATGTCATGACATTACCATTCATTTATTCAAATGAGTGATACGTTTAGATGTGTATTTGTAAAAAATTGCTTAATAATCCTATTCATTCACTAGACCTACTCATAAATAAATGTTTAGTATACATTTCAAATTTGGAAAAATATAAAAATCTCTCATCAGATACTTCCAACGCTACCAAGCCCGGATGCTCAAGTTCCCTGAGCTCTCTCTGGGCATTATCACTCTGTGTGGACAGACGGTCACTCCAAGGAATGCATCTGCCTGGAGGAACCGCTGCCCACACTGAAGCCCAGGGAAGCAGCTGGCCCTACTTGCCCCTTCCCTCCTGGGCACCACATTGCACTGCCCAGCATCTGGGGGGAAAGAGGTGGAGAGCGCAGGACATAGTGCCACAGTGCTGCCAGCGATGCTGCGTTGCTGGAGGGAGTTCAGGCAGACAGTGCCGGAGCTGAGCAGAGCAGAAGCAGTGGAGAAAAGTTTTGACTCTCAGCTCACAATCACCGTCATCTAAAATATCAAATTTAGAAGGGCCTACCACTGAAAAGATTTCATTCAGGTGTGCTATGACATTCAGGTCATTACCAGCTCACAGGCATGAATGTTTCTTTATTCCTTAAATATATCTACAGTTAACATATGGAAAGGTCTATAAACTGCAGAGAGAGGATGGGTTTTGGTGTGCAGAATACACAGATATATTCACCAGCTCATTAGTCTTCATCTGCACTGTTTTCAAGCTTGCATCAAATGCCTTTAGTTTCAGCTGTTGGAGTGCAGTAGGAGGGAGTATTTGCTTTGGCTCTGTTGCCCTCCCTCTGGTATTTGTGGTGCTACTTAATCCCCTCCTTTCTGCACGTTCGAGGGGTCGACGGTTCCCACACACCTACTAGTCTTGTTCTAAAATAGCTCACAGTTGTGACAGCAGCTTTTCGGGTTCTTAGCTCAGAGGGTTAGCAATGTTGCCAGAAATAGTAGTTACGTCTCTTCCTGATTAATGTCGTTTCTTTGGCATGTGAAATGTACCTTAACTAGTTTTAAAAATATTTTGAACGAGCCTGTGTAACTACAGCAGATTACTAATTGAGGTATGTTAAAACTGGGCCAAGGAAGCAGCAACAACCTTGAGTCAGGCCTGAGATCAAAGCTGTTGGCTTTACAGCTTCCTTATAAGCTCATTAGAGTCTTCAGGAGAGAGCATAAGAATGGGAAGAATAACAACAGCTATATCTTATGTGGATTAAGGGCTGCGTGTTACAGAAGTAATGGTTTGAGATAGTGTCACATTATAGGCAGAATGTACCCAAAAGCCTCATTACGAGAGGCAGGAGAATAAAAGATGTCCATGGTTTTGTGAATACAGCAATCTCCTCCAGACCTCTCTGGTGGAAAATACGATATAGAAAATAATTGACTCTCAGCCTGTCACAACTACTGCCACCGCTGCTTCGCTCCTTGTAGCAGTCATATTTGTTCTTAAAAATGCTGGTTAGAGAACTTATTATGCAGAGGGATGAGAAGTGGATGAGTCCGCCCTAACTAAGCACAGTGAGAGCTGTACGTGCTTCCCTCCACTCCCGCTGCTGATGCTCAGCTGCAGTTTGGGGGGCTGTCCGAGCCCTGGCCTTGCCTTCAGCAGGTACTGCCGTTCATGGCAGCCTGCTTAGCATGTGCTCAAGCCTGTAAGATGCTCTGATGCGAATGCAAACTCTCAGTCTGCTCTGTTGTTCAGATTTGGCTCCGAGAGCCTCTAATGGTGTTAAAATTTCTCTCTCCTGCCTACTCCTCCCTTCATCCCAGCCAACTTTGCAGAGCAAATACAGGGGGTGTTAGTGGGGAAAAAACGTATTACAGATTGTCATTAGGTGCAGAGTTCAGGGTAACTTTTTCAGTTTCGTCCTGGGAAGACTATTTAGATACAGAAGGGTTTTTTCCAGGCCAAGATTCAGCCATGTGTGCTGGATGTTGTCTAGTGGGTGGGCAAGCGAAAGGACCCCTCCTGATTTCTAGCCTTTTCAAAGGAGAGATAGTCCCATATTTCACCACACTGGCTGCACCCGCCCTTTCCGCGCCCCCCCCAACTTGTTTATTGGAAGGCTTTCCTAGCTATTAAGCAGGATTTGGGTATATTATCATTTTCTAAACTGTGGAGATGATTGATTGAAACTCGGTGGGGATCAGGACCCCGCTCCTTCAAGACTCATAACAAGTCCCATTGAAATCAGCGCTTGAATGTTTCGAGGATCTGAGTGTGCCCGTCTCACACAGGCATGTTTTAATATGTAACTTAGTACTAGTAAATGCAAATCAGTTAAGAATTCGCAAGAGCTTCCCTGTGCTCTTCATGTTCCCAGCAGCGACAGCAGCCCTGCCTTCCTCACGGGCCTTGGTCCCACTGATTAGTTGATTTGTATTACATGGTGCTTTCGTGGAGAAAATTGGTATCCAGCTGTTTTTCTGGTAACGACATATATATCTTTTCATTTTAATTTCTAAAATATGCTCCCCACCAAGGGCAAAATTAGAATGGGTCTGAGCTGAAGATAGGCCAAGCAGTCTCCCAGTCTCTCTTCTCCCTTCTCTGGGAGAAGAGAAAAACATTAAGTGGTGGGTTTTTTTTTTCTTTTCCTAAAATAATTAAGAAAGCTCAATTATGTGGAAAGATTTTGCGTTCTCTGGAGAAAACCTGGGCGGTAATGAAAACCGCTGACATATTAATCCAGCTTCTCCTCAGAGCCTTTACAATCTGAAAAAAATCAACTGTTGTAAGAGTGAGTAAAATCTTGGCAGGTAGACGAAACCATGTCCTGTGGGTTTGCAAGAGATGCCTGTTTTTAACAGATGGTCTGTTTCCTCAATTTCAGGATCACTTCTTCAGAGCAGCGTTAGGACAGCAGTCTTGCTATATCAGCATTACACAAGCGGCCGTGGTGCCGTTGTGAGAAGCTCGTGATCCGGGGTGCAGGTTGGAGCTAGAGGCTGGGTGTTTCCCTTCACAGAGCCCTCGTGCAACCATTTTCTAACAACTACTCGATTTTGTACCTTTTACCTCTCGCTTAAATCTCAGGTCCAGGCAAACCGTCGTCCAAGGTCAGGCAGAACTGGTTACATCTAGTTTCTTATATTAGAAAAAAGGAACCCAGTGCATATTTACTTTAGGGCTCATTGTTTCCGTACGAAACGCCTGTCATTTGATTCATGCTCTCACCTGGTTTGCTAAACAGTTCCTGAAACTTAGTATTCTTAGCACATCTGTTTTAATGTTCACATCTGGGTTTGAGTTTCACGACGAAAGTCTCAGATTTGCTGAAAATATTTTTTACAGCTGGTTTGTTTTTTGTTTTTAATTTTTACCTTAGGAGAACAACTAAGAGTAACAGGGGCAATCAATGAACTTTCAAATGAGAAGGCAGCCTCTGCTGCCTGTGCAGGGATTGCAGAGCAGCTGGCACTCTTTGACCTGGTCTCTTTGGCACAGCCGTGGAGAAGCAGCACCCTGACGCACCCGTGACTCAGCCACCCATCCTTAGGACATACTTTGTTCCAGGTGCCACACTTGTTTTGTGGCCAGTCGTTTACAGTGCAAGCAGAAGGAAAACCACCTACCCCGGGGAATGGTTTCCCATTAGAAATACGCGATGCGACCCATGCTTTGTACCCACCGCAAGAGCTCACCCCGTGCCAAAAGGCCACCAGTCATTGTGTGGCTCAGCATGTGGCCGGTGACTGGCAGGGGTCCAGCTTGGTAAGACGGGAATGACTTGTGGGAGTGACTGCTGCCTTTCTCTTACAGCTTGGACTCTTTTCTTTATGGACTCCATGCACTGTTCAAAGGAGACTTCCGGATAGCGGCAAAAGATGAGTGGGTCTTTGCAGACATGGATCTATTGCATAAGGTGGTTGCCCCAGCAATACGTATGTCTCTGAAGCTACACCAGGTAGGGTCTTTATTCAGTTTTTATTTTTAACTTTCACTACTCTATCTATTTCCTTAGGGAAACACAGGAAACCTTAGAACCTGTAGAAAGAAAAAAAAAAAAAAATACAGGGAAATGGAGAACTCGTTGCCTTCTTCTGAGAAACCTCCTTCTTAAGCAAAATGGAAAAGCTTGGCATTTATTTATTTTGCATTCACTTGATCTTGTTTTCCGTACCCCCTAGCTGCCTGTTTGAAACCATTCATATTGCAGAGCTTGACCCTGCATTTTTCATCAACACAAAACCAATGGTCATTCATGTTTTACTGGTGTGGATACTACAAAGAAGGTTTCTAGATTGAAAAGAAATACGTTTATTAGACTAATTCCATTGCTAATTTATCAATCCTTTAATGCAAGGGAATACACATGTAACACTTCCGTATGTTAAAAGACAAAGCTGAGAGGAAAGTGATGTGAAGGTTTAGTGTCACGGCTGTTTGTTTGATTACATCAGGCTGTTTCTGACCCCGTTCTGTTTTCAGTTGTAAAAATCTGGCACACCTCCATTGAAGTTGCTCCAATTTCTTCAGGTCAACCCGTGTAGCTTGGAGCTGATTTTGTTCTTGCTCTGGCACGTTATGATTTGGTACCGTATGCTTTTATCATGCATGATACTTATAATTGCTCTGAATGTAACGGAAGTGGAACTGCTGTGAATTAATATCTGAGAATTTGACACAGTAATTTCATGAATGTTATCACTGGCTGTGTTGCTGCATGACAGCTAAAGTAGTAACACAATATTGTGATATCCGCTGATGGATTCCCAGTCTGTGCTTTTGTTGGTGGTTTTTTGTGAATGAAAATAAGGATTTCCACAAGAACTGTGGAACCCTGCAGGTGATTCCGATCTCCTTCCGGCTTGCTCAAAAGCTCTGCTTCCCGTGGCTTCCCACTTTATAAAAAGAAAGTGGATAAGCTGGCATTCTCTGAGTGTCTTTGTCCAGTGAAGACATGAGAACAGAACAGGTTACAATAAAACAAAAATTGTACCTTTCTATATTACTGTTAAGTTAGTTGTTCTACCTCCCCAAAGACATGCTGTATCAAATGGCAAGGGGGTCATCTGGCAACCGTTCAAAAATCAGGATTTTGTTTATGGTTACTATTTTTTGTGTTTTCACAAATACACCTGACCTTTTCAATACTTTTTCCTGTACTACCAGGACCAGTTCACCTGCCCAGATGAGTATGAGGACCCAGCAGTTTTGTATGAAGCCATCCAATCTTTTGAAGAGAAGGTGGTGATTTGTCACGAAGGGGACCCAGCCTGGCGCAGCGCTGTACTCTCCAACAGAGAGGAGCTGCTCACCCTGAGACATGTGGTAGATGAAGGAGCAGACGAATATAAAGTTATCATGCTCCACAAAAGCTACTTGAGCTTCAAGGTTATCAAGGTACATACACCATCTTTCTAATATCGCAGTAATTTAGGGCTGTGGTAACTAATATTATTTCTGAGTACTCTGGCTAAGAGGAGAGGTTGATTGTAGTTATCAGAGTAGGGGCTGGAGGCTAAGAGAGCTCTCTTCAGTCGACTTCCAGTTTGCACTCACATGTTCGTGTATCTGAAATAACATTCCAGGCTTTACAGGCAGTAGCTGCAAAAGTTCATAAAACCCATTGGTGCAAAGACATGAGGTGTTTGCACGCACAGCTACTGCTGTTCTACCTAGATTGCATAGTTCTGCATCTTAACTAGCAAACACTTTCACACGGTCCACGTGTTTTTAACCTACCTGTAGGTCAACAAGGAGTGCGTCAGAGGGCTTTGGGCTGGGCAGCAGCAGGAACTGATTTTCCTACGCAATCGTAACCCGGAGAGAGGAAGCATCCAGAACAATAAACAGGTCTTGCGGAACTTAATTAATTCTTCCTGTGATCAGCCACTGGGATATCCAATGTACGTTTCGCCTTTAACCACCTCATACCTTGGGACACACAGCCAACTGAGGAACATTTGGGGGGGACCTGTCAGTTTGGACAACATTAAAAAGTGGTTCAGATCCAAATGGTTAAGGTAGGTGTTAAATTTTGGCTATGCAGGTAGAGACCCTGCAGTCTCAGTTCGACTGTATTTTCTGTTACAAGAGAGTAATTCTGTATTGTTATCTATGAGTAAAAAATCAATTTCAAATAACTCAGAATAAATAGCCCTACAGATGTAGCAGAAAGCAAATTCATTAACTCCTTCATGGCTTTTAAGCAAAGCCTTGTACATGCTCAACAAGATTCATTATCAAATCACTTAGTGCCACAAACATTGCCCTTATTCCAGGGAAATTTGCTGTTTATGCCTTGTAAATAAGAGTATCTTTTCTGTAACTCAGTGACATGTCAGAACATGAGTAAATTTATTGGTGGGTTATGCTCCAAAGCTTCAGCAGTATGCATGATTATCTCCAAGTCATTGTTCTTGACCAAAACGCATCTAAAAATGTACTTACTATCCACTAAAACTGCCTACCTTCCCCTAGGTGTGCATGATCAGTATCTGACACGTTCCATCTCTCGTTCCTACGTGCACTTTTCATACAGCAATAATTGACTCTTGTCACGTTTTCTCCACCTGCCCTATGGCCACCGTGGCTGAGGAGAGGCAGGGGACCATGGAGAGACTACAGAAGCCAGCTTGCATGCTAAGACCTATGCTAAAATGCCAAGATTAAATGGTAGTGGCTTAATATGCTAGTTTCCCACCATGCAGCTCATTCGAATGGGTGGAATGGTTGGAGCTCCCTCCAGCGCATTCCTCTTCTTTGCTACTTGGTTACCTCATGCAAAAGCTGATCTTTAGAGACCACTGTAACATTAGATAGAGTCTCCTAAGGTCTTGCAGGGCTCCAAAGCCACTTACTGCAGACAGAGAAAGGTTTGGTTTGTATTGTATACAATTTTGTTCCAAGTAAGCTTACCACACCATCCTCTCTGTCATCTCATAAAACGTCAAAAGACCTGCAGTGGTATCAGAGAGTGCAATTACACATTTTGAGGGCACCTAACATTGGTGGCACAAACTTTCATGCATAATAAATGGCTGACCATGCATGTGTTCCCGCAAACAGAATGCGGAAGGACTGCCATGCAGCTCACCACGAGAGAGGTAACGTTGAAGAGGCAGATAGTGGAGGCGGATCTTCGTCTGGCAACAATTCCACAGGCAATTCAAGCCAGAGCAGTAGCTCGCAGCCCACTAGAGATGGAACCCCTCAGTTGCAAGCCTCATCTCAAGAGGTCCACCAGCGTGCAGGTATCTGCAAAATTTACTTGGCTTTTTCTGTAGTCTTCTCCTGAGCAGCTGCGTAGGTGGATGCTTTTGGGGTGTGCTCATAGCCAGGGGAAAACGATTTTTAGAAAGAAAGCTTCGTCTTTCCTAATGACCAAGCACATGTAGGAGATGGGCTCCTGATACTGTTCCAGGTATTTACTGGGAGAGGGTAAGACGAATGTGATACTTCAGAGGTTCCACTGTCAAACTCGTTTATGTGTAACTTTTGGACTAGGAGATGCCACTAACAATGCTGGAATGAGAAATGCAGACAGGAGGGAGTTCACACGTGCGATGCAGGGAACCTGTACCACAGTGAATCTGTGCTCATTGTTGGCTGGGAACAGCAGAAATGAAAGTATGCAAAAATCTTAATTATTTTGGAAGGGCCATAACGATTTATTTGAGGAATTGGTTTGGTTGTTCATCAGCGCATGTGGAGAACAAACAAATCGGAAATAACTTCTTATGTCTATACAGCAGTTACCAGGAGAAAATTAAATGTTGCCAGTCTTTCGGTCAACTAGCAACTGAGCCCTTCTCGTATTAAATTATGGATTCAAGAGTGCTTCAGATATATTCACAAGGTAGAACTACTGGCTTTCCCACCGGAAATACACATTAAGTTTAGCAGTGGGTCACTGTGAAGATCAGGACTTGCAAAGCCAAGTAACTCAATCTTTCAAAAGGTTGTGGTATTACTGCATAAATTAAAGCAGACAACTAGACGGGTATGACACCTGTTTGTTTCCTGTTAGATCATTTTGACCTATCATTAAAGATAATCTTGCCCTGAATATAAATCATGTTGTAAGAATAAAATAACTGCTGCTTTTAATTGAGTCTAGTGTTAGAGGAATCCCTCTGTGCATGGAATCCCCATGCGCATACTCATAACTTGACACTGCAGTAATCAGAACGGCAAACTTAATTGTAAAGTAATGATCCTGAGCTTGCCATACAAGAATGAAAGTTAATTGCGAGTTGTTTAAAAGAAGGTATTGGGTGCCCAGAAAACCACAATGAAGAAAGATGGTCACACTTGGTTAAGAAAAGCAACCTGGCTTTGAGGTAAAATGAAGAAATGCACAACAAATGCAAGGAAGTGGAAAATAGCAAATGTAAATCAGTATTCAGTCCTGAGAGACCATTGATAAGAGAAAGAGAATGGAACAAGGAGAAGTTTCTGGCTAGCACCATTAGGAACAAAAAGATGAAAGTGGGTTTGTGGCTGTTTACTTTTAAAGAGTATTAGAAGCAAAAGAAATCCTAACAGTGGTCTCGATACGTCACTATATAGATAAAGGCAGAGTTGCCAATAATGTAGAAATGAAAAAAGAAATGTCCGGTTTGTATTGGGACACTGTTGACCTACCACGCACAGTCCTAGTGCCCTGATTTAAGAACGACATTTTTAATTTGGAAGGAGTTCAAAGAAGAGCCAAAAAATTATCCAAGATCTGGGAAGTGCATCCTGTAGTGAAAGATGAAGAGCTTTCAAACAATTTATATTGTAAAAGATGCTTTGATCATAGTCTGTCAATATTTACCTGGGCAACAAAAGGTGACCAAAGACAGCTGATTCGAGCAGACTTGGATATAACAAAGCTAAACAAATTCAGATTTGAAATCAAGTGCACGTTTTTAACAGTGAGAGTAAATAAACAGTGAATCAAGTGACTAAGGGTTAAGATGGATTCTCCATGACTGGAGATATTGGACGCATTTCTTAAAAATAATCGTAGTAATTAGTAATACCAGACAGGAATTAATTCCAGGAAGTTCCATGGTCCATGCTACATGGCACAGCAGACGAGATGATCGCCAACAATCCCTTCTAGACTCATAATCTATGAAACGAGCGTATTTAATGTTTTCACATTTCATTTTGCAGCCTGGTGCCACTGCGTCTGCAAAATGCAATGAAAGCCCGATATAAAAGTGCGACCAAAATCGGGAGCATTGGAAACGTGTGGGGTTCTCCTCCCAAGTATCCTTATTTCATGATGCAGTTTATAGAACAGCCTTTGTTTCCTAAGTGTTTTCAAGGACAGAGTTATTTATGTGTAGACGCGGGTGGTCTCCTGTCCAACACTCTAACCACTGCATTCGGGATGAATACAGAATACTTTTGGACAGGGGTCAGTTTGGCAGTCTAAATCACAAGCAGATGTTTGGCCACGTTAGCCCCTGCACAAACTAACACACCGCAGCCCCTCTGTTCTTCATTCCAGTCTGTTCCTTTTATTTTAAAAGGGTAACATATTAAAGTAACCGTCAGACGTAGAAAGCAAAGCACTTAAACAAAACCCCGGAGTCTGAAGAACCTGAATCCCTGCGGAGGCCAGAGGTGCGCAGGGCTGCCAGGGCAGCCTGACCCCTGGCGCAGCACCCGCCCTCCCCACTGACCACGTCCAAAGCACAGGGGACGCTGGCAGCCTGGCACACAGGAGCCACGTCCATCTGTCCCATTGCTCTCAAGCGGAGATCTTGGGGCTCTTATTACCAAGAATGCTGCTTTGCACGCCAGCCTAGGAAAATTATTTTTTTATTGTTTGGAGTATAAATGTAGAACTAAAGGTACATTGTAAGTGGGGTGCGAAGGTGGCCAGTGCTTGGCAAACCAACGAGGTTTTAGTCCAGTTAGGTTGTGGCTCAGCTCTGCCATCTGACTCTGTGCCAAGTTACCTAAATTCTCTTTGCTTCAGCACCTGAAAAATGGGGCTAATGATACCAGCCTATGGAAAGTGGGTCTGTGGACGTAACCCAGCATGTTTTAGCTATATAATGTAAATAGTTTGAATATGAAATTCTGCATTACTGGAACCCTCATTAATTCAGCAGTCACCTTTCTAGAAGATGGTATGAGATTTATATTCTTTTATGCCTGCAAAATTTCAGCATCTGGAGGAATTTCAGTTCTTCCCTCCCCTCCATAGTTCAGGTATTGGGGCAAAAACAGAGCAAAAAAAAATTACCAACAACCTGGAAATGCCTGCCAGCAAAACTTGTTTCTGCATTGATGGCTCTCAACAGATTTTCTGGCATCAACTCTCTACTCCACAGCTATAGCTAGGAAACCAAAATGCCAGCTTGTGTTAACGTTTGGAGTTTCCTGGAAAGCAAAAAAGCCAAGCAGGCACTCGCGGGACCACGTATTTGCTGCGTAAGCCTGGGTTAGAGCCTCTCTGCAGAAACAGTACACTCTTTCGGGGCTTGTGGCGTGTGGCAGCCCACTGCATGCCATTTGCAGAGTGCCTGGGTGCAAGCAGGTGTCTGGTGGGTTCACTGGCCAATAAGTTGACTTATTTTTCATTCTATGACTATTCAAATACGCAAGCATCAGAAATGCAGAAATTATTTGTTTGAATGACGTAAGATGTTGATATAAATGTTTAAAATGGGGGTGTGCAGGGAGATAGAAGTTGTCTAGGCACGTCAGAATAGCTTATCTCACCTACTCTCTATATCCAACAGTGGCTGCATTGAGATGCTTCACAGAATGGGGCAAGAGCCTTATGTAGGTCTCACTCAGACCTCCAGTAGACAACCCAAACTAGAGGTGTTCACATCTTTTCAGTCTGTGATGCACTGTAAATACCACTCTTGAAACTCAGAGACAGTTTAATTTTAGTTCTAAAAACTGTCTTGTGGCTTGAATGCTGTAGTCTTCTACTTCATAGATTCATAGATTTCTAGGTTGGAAAAGACCTTAGAGATCATCGAGTCCAACCATCCCTAATCCCCATTAAACCATATCCTCAAGTAGATCATCCACCCTATTCTTAAACACATCCAGGGATGGGGACTCAACCACCTCCCTGGGCAGCCTATTCCAGTGGCTGACAACCCTTTCAGAGAAGAAATACTTCCTAACATCCAACCTGAATCTCCCCTGACTAAGCTTATGCCCATTTCCTCTTGTTCTATCACCCATCACTAATGTAAAGAGCCCTTCCCCTACCTCCCCACCATCTTTTCTCAAGTATTTATAGGCCGTAATCAGGTCTCCCCTCAGCCTCCTCTTCTCCAGGCTAAACAGCCCCAACTCCCTCAGCCGCTCCTCATAAGTTTTATTTTCCAGCCCCTTGACCAGTTTAGTCGCCCTTCTTTGGACTCGCTCCAGGAGCTCAATATCTCTCTTAAAGCGAGGGGCCCAAAACTGGACACAATATTCCAGGTGCGGCCTCACCAGTGCCGAGTACAGGGGCAGGATCACTTCCCTGTTCCTGCTGGTCACACTATTCTTGATACACGCCAGTATCCCATTGGCCTTTTTGGCCACCTGGGCACACTGCTGTGTGCACCACAATACTTGGTTGTGTTCAACCACAATACTTGGTTGAATTCTCAAATTCCCCATATGCAGGGATAATTCTTTTAAATGTGCCATTGTTTTAACTCACAGGTGTGGCTTTTTATTTTTGCATTTAATTATACCAAGCCATTTAAGGTGGATATTCAACATCTCGTACTTTAGTATGGTTGTCAAAGGGGAGGGGAGTCTGGACTTAGAGCAACACTATGCTCAGTCGTTCACTGGGCAGGTTAAAATGTACGTGGCAGAATAGGTGTGAGCCTGTGATTAGAGTACTTTCCTTGAGGTGTCTTCTCATCTTCCTCTCTTTTGAATCAGTGCCGAACCACTGGAGCTATTCTGACCAAAGACCAGAACCCCTGTCGTGGAAAATGCAGAAAGGTTCATAGGTTTAGCAGTTTGTTATTTCTGTTATTCTTGGGATTCTTATGCTGATAAAACCAGTAGTAATGTGCCAATAGTAATATGTACACACAGGACACTGTAAATAGCATGGAGTTCATCAGGATGTCACTTACTTAAATATATTTAATCTTTCTTTTAAAGGCAGGAGAAAACCCAGGAGTCAGTCCGTCCAGGCACACACTGCTTTAAACCAAAGGCCCCCTGCTTCAAGTCACTCTGGACCAATTGCAGAAAGCCGCCAGCCTTTCATCCAAACATCTACATCTGCCCATGAAATTGCCCAAAGGCTTTCTAGTAGTCAGCTGTCATTCCACAACTCAGCAACATCTGTGTTTTCCCAGTCCCCTGCTGTTCCTGTTGCTGGCCAGCTGACTGTGCAGGACCGAGCAGCAGCAATGCTCAGGTCCAGTCTGGCCTCTTCCACCAGCTCAACTCTCAGCCTGCTGTTCGGCAAGAGAAGTTTTTCAAGTGCTTTGGTGATTTCTGGGCTCTCGGCTGCAGATGGAGGTAACACCAGTGACACCCAGTCATCCAGTAGTATGAATATCGCTATGGGTCCATCTGCTAGAGCAGCAAGTCAAGGAACTCGGGTAAGGCTGAAGCTAGAACAGCAGTACTAACCATGAGCTATGGTACTGTTCTCCTATCAGGTTCTTGAACTGTCTGCACCACTGTTTGGTTTCTTCCTTCTCACTGGTCAGAAAATAGTCTTTTCCAACACAATGTCAGGATTTTGGTATTTGTTTTGGATTTTGCTGCATCACAATGAAAATGACTCTGTTAAATATTAATGTGTATATGAGAGTGATGTATTTGTAAGTAATTGACAGGTTAGCTAGAAAGCATGCACCTGAAATTGCAAAGTCCCTCTTCCTTTCACTCAGACCAGAGACTTAGGTCTCCATTTTCTGCAGCCCAGGTAATGAGCACCATCATAAGCAGAGTTAATAGCTTCTGCCTTGCTTGCTTATGCAGGACCTAATTATTTGTACAAAGAGGAACGGTTCCCACTGGACAGTGCGCTGGTTCTGTCCCTCTCTCTGACCAGAAATTCAATCCAGGTCCTGAAAACCTTGTTACCGAAAGGGTTAGTCAAAGGAAGTCTGTAGGAAATATTTCCTAAAGGAAACCTGCATGCCCTGTGATTCAGCATTTTCTAACAGCAAAACAGTACAGACAAAGAACTTCCAGCCCTCTTCGCAGTAGGCTCCCAGTTCTGTTCCCATCTTCCCTGGAAACTTCAATGCACATAGTAGTGTTATTGTTTTATTGTCTACTTAAGTATATTTATTTAACTTGGGTTGCCATCATTTGCCTTCCTGAATTTTGAAACTTTCATCTCAGCACTAGAGAACAGAAACATGAGAAGATGGACATGGATAAAGGCCGATGGCAACTAGGGGCTGAGTGACAACATAATTAAGACAGACTTTTGCATTTGGCCTAGCAAAATGGAAACCAAATTGGCAACAGGGGAAGATGGTGGATTGGAAAGTTCAAAACACTTTTCTGCTACTGTCATTCTGAACTGTGTATAGCTTCCATAATTCTCAAAGAATTCTCCAAACCTCAAGTAAAAAAAGCTCCTTAGCCTTGTGTGTATTTTGCTCTCAATCAAAAAATACCATGTATGGTATAGGTCCTTGGCGTTTTGCCATGAACTTCCACAGAAGTTGAGTACACTTTACTCATCTGGGTCCAATCCTGCTTTATTACTCTAATGAGCATTAATAATATTTCTACACGTACACCTGAGCATATGAGATGACAAACCGTAATTCCAACTCTCAAGAGTTTATAGCCTAATTTTCAAGAACTCAGCCAATCTGCAATAGCGAGTACTAACAGTAGGATTCACCTCGTCTAACTTTAAGCCATCTGAAATTTGGGCCTGAAGCCTCAGTAGATTGTGGGTGTGGCCCCTCTATTCAGTGGAGAGGACAATCTACTTCATCCTTACAGCTGTCTCAAAGAAACCTTCCCCTGGGACACTCGTATCTCTCTACCAACCATTGACAGCCTAGATGATAAAATAAGACCACATGGTTAAATTTAGATGAGGTGAGTCCTGGCCAAAGTAACTGCTCAGAGTCCAGGTGCCTATTTGATTGAAAGTGGTAGGGAGGAAGTGTTTTATTTAAACGTTAACACAGCACAGTTCTGGAAAGCTTTTATACTAATGGACTTCTTACAGTGGGGTGACACTGCACATAATATTTTTAGACTGATAATTGCATTCCAGTTTTGATGAAAAGGTTTCTTTGTAAGTTGGATTTAAAATTTGGTGTATAAAGCAAGCCCCCGAGCAACCCCATTTAAATTCTTAGAAGTCAGCCCTGCTTGGAGCAGCAGTTTGGACTGGATGACCTCCACAAGTCCTTTTCAATCCAAATTATTTTACAGCTCTCTATACATATACATCTGTGGTACTAAACCTCTAGCTCCTGGTCTGTTTTTCTTTCCAAATGTATGGGTTACACAAAGTGTGACAAGTACCTCTTCAGAAGTCCTTTGTGAATAATGCATGTTAAGAATCCCTTGCCGTTTCACAGAATGATGTTCCTAAATCAATTTTAAACATTTTTCACCTGTCACTTCAAAAAATAGCTGAAGTGTTACTTAAAAATTTCCTGAACTAGTTGACTTTTTCTTTTCCTTTCTTTCCAGCAACTCACCGAGACCTGTGAAGCAACAGATGCTACAGAACCTAAGCCGCGGCGAGAGGCAGGTCCGGCCCACGCCATATTCATGAGTCGGAACCTGGAGTGCAGAAGGGCCAGCCAAGAAGATATGGCCCTGGAAGACACTGCTTCTCAGCAAAGCCTGTCTGAGGAGCAGTAAGGAGTATTCCTAGTGAGGGGCCACATGCTGCTTAGAGTTAAATAAAGACAAGAGTTAGGTCAGGGAGCTGCACGTGGGCTTAGGTTCTTTCAAAAGTAACAGGCAACCTCCAAATGTTTATTTTTCTAACTTCTACACAAGAATACTATGGGGCAGATGTTCTTCAGCTAAAGGCCTTGGCATGGGTAGGGTTGGAAGATGTCCTAAAAAACACACAGTGCCACTTCATCTCAGGTTCTTGTAAATCCTAGAACAACGAATACAACCTGTTTAACGTTCCTTCCCCTGGAACAGTTGGAATCACAAATTAATACAGTGGGAAATACTAATACAACTCAGTGAAAAGCACACAAGACATCTCTTTCCTGCCATAACTAAACAGCTGATTGCATGCAAACTAATTGGCATTTGATATATAACATATAGCAAAAACCAACTTTGAACAGAAGCAATGAATACATAAAAGAACAGTACAACATGTACTATACATTAGAGCTAAATCCGATTTTTTTTTTAAACACAAATCTCTCTTATTTTTCTTTAACATGTTATGCAGGTGGTAATTCTGAATAGCAATATAGCATCACAGATTGATATACTGCATGCAGCCATATTGAAATATTGCGTGAACAAGCCATGCTACCCAGATTAACAAAAGTCAAGTGCGAGAAAAGAAAGTATCCCATGCATGGAAAGCCTTCAAAGCATACAGTGCACCTTATTTGCAAAGAAAATGGCTTTGCATAAACAGCTGCTCTTAGGTATTATCTCGTGCTCCTGTTTGGTTTACAGCAGTGTTTCTCAAATTCCAGGCAGCAGCCCACTTGGGAGTTACAAAAGGGCCCAGAGGAATCCTCCTCAAGGACAGGAAAGTGCAAAGCAGGCTGTAATTCTTGTCTGGAAGTGTTTGTATTAGGAAGGGAACAGCTAAATGCCTTTAATCGCTGGACACAGCTCAGTGTCCATAAACACTTGTAGCCAGTAATTAGAGCATTCCGATTTCTCTCCCCCAGAGAAACTGAGCTGCTGCTAATTTAATAGTAGCACAAAGACAGATGAGGCAAAAAGGGAGGCTGTGCTTTCATGCAGTTTGAGAAACACTGATTTACAGGAATGCACGACTACTTTGGAAGCCAAAAGGCTACAACAAACCCTTCCTCTACTAATAGCGTCTAAACACACACACCCCTTCTCCTTTTTTTAAAAAAAAAAAAATTAAAAAAAAATTGCAGCTATCCGTGTCTTGCTGTTCCTCTTTACTGTAACTACCAGAGACTGTTTCTAATTCTCAACACGATGATGTGCAGCCAGGCTGTCTTGTCCCAATTAACAAGAAAGATTTAACACGAGATGCTGTAGCTGTCTCATTACTGTTAGGCAACACACAGTTGCATTCTGAGCTTCCTACTGTGCCACACTTAAGATTATAAGTAGTAGAACTAAATGACACCTAGTGAAAATAAAATGATCCAAGTATGTTTTGTGTGGCAGCAGTTTTTGGGTTTTCTTTTTTATTTTGAATTGTTTTCACTTGTGTTCTGCCTTATGATATTGAGAAATCTATTGTTTTTCTTTCACTTCAGATCTTGATGAATTAATTATTTATAAAGCTCAGCAAAACCTAGGCAAAATTCTCCTCATGTTCGCAAGGGCAAAAGCAGAGACACATGGTCATGTGCAGTTTAGGCCCTACAAATGTCTCCTCCAGCATCCAGGTGTGACATGGAAGAGGAAATTGAACTCAGCTGCTCCCTTCTGACTGTTTCTGGCAGATCGTACCTCTCCTCCCACCACCCTGCTCATGAAGTGCTTTGTTACAAATGAAGGCTGGAGGTTATACACGTAGGTGGAGTGCTTTTACTAACAGCCACCAGCCCCATTTCTGCCCAAGGGGCCTTTGCGTGGCAGTCTACTAAGATAAACCATCACTGCTTTGTCTTCCTAAACCCTACCTTGCATGAAAAGCACTAAAAACTCTCCCGTATTCAGTTGGCCTGACTTAGGCCTCCCATTTTCGCATCTTTAACTTAAGTTTGAATTAATTTCCATCAAAAATAAGTAACTCCAGTAGTCCCAATCAACTTAAATTACTCTATGTATCCAACTCAAGCATACTAAACCAGACTGGGAAACAGCTGCACAAATCCTGCCAGCAGCAAGCCACTGTATCTTAGTGCAGACCGAGACTCAGCAACACCACATTTCCCCAGCACCACGTCTTCTGTAAGAGAATCCACTATCTTCATGGCCTCTGGTACTGCACCCTAAGATAAGGCAGCTGCCTCACAGTTCTCGACTTAGTTCAAGCCACCAGCCCCTGGAGCATACCTCCTTGGGGACAGCAGTGTGCCATGAAGCCCAGCCTCCTGCTGCACAAGGTGGCTGCCAGAAAAGGCATGTCTGATGAAGCACTGCACACAAGCTGGGCAGAGCAGGTGTCAAGGTAAGATTCAAAAATAAGCTCCTTTTTGCAGCCATGTCTTACATGGTTTTTATTTTGCCTTGAAGTTGTTTCTGTAGCATAGCAGGTTGAAAAAACCCAAGAATAACCAATTTACAACAGTAACAAAGGGAAAAAAAAAAAAGATGACAGCACAAACTCTCCCACATTATGTTTCTCCATAATTTTGGAGATAGTCTGCTGTTACTAATAAGACTACTGGTACATGCAGTGTTTTTAAATATGGGCCAATCCTACAGAATAATCAGACACGATGATTAGAAATAAAACCTGGAACTAGGTCTGAGGTTGTATTGATTAAACCTCCTCCCGTGTTTGCATGAGGTAGAGACAGACCCGATTACTCTGTACATGACGGAAGATGCATTTCAGGCGCTGATGCACACGAAGCTAACAAACAGGTCTGTAACCTTTACACATGGCCTGATTTCTACAGTAAGTGCCCAGAACAGCTCTGCATAGCACCAAAAGGCACTTGAGTCCGTCAGAATGCTATTCTCAGCACCAGTGCTTAGATACTTTTAAAGGCTTTAAGCCATACTTTTATTCCTGAAAGACCTAAGCAGCTTGATACTTAACCTCGCACATGAGGTGCTTCAGAGTTGCAAGATGGAGGTACCTGTGAAACCTCTGGAACCCCACCTGTTGAGCAGTTTGGGGCTCTGAATGAAAAGCAAAAGCAACTTTCATTGCTTTTAAGTCAGGTTTCATATGACGATAGGTTTCATAATGCTAACACTGTTAAAACTTGGCCCTGAAGCTGCTCAGGCTGAACAGTTTGCCTACATCACCTGTCTGACCTCTTACTGCAGCTGTGATGCAGGAAGGATGGCCACCACCAACACGTAAGTACCTTTTATATGCAGTTCCATTCGGTTGTCAGTTTTGAAGATTCAGGTCCTATGCTTGAATTTTTCCAGAGCTGCAGAGACGCTTACTTAGCAGGGGCTGAAGGCAGAAGCCTGCCCAATGCACGTTCAGCCAGCCCAGAACCTTCTTGTTTCTATAACCTGGAAGTAGTGATGCTCCCATCACACCAGCAAGCTGAATGCATCCTTTGAGGAAATCATGCACTCGGTCCACAAGAGCATTTGGTACATGCGGTTCTTTGGTAAAAGTGTTAGAAGGAACGAAGAGATGGAGGCCCTATCTGGGGTTGAGCTGGGGGGAAGCAGATAACATCACCGTTGCTAAAAAGAAACATCAGAGTGATCTTGTCCACACTGGCTCAGTGGTGCCCTCACAACCAGAGAGAACACATTCTGTACAGCAGGCTACAGGAAGGAGAATACTGAGTATATGGTAAAACAAGCACACACACAGTACTTCAGCCCTTGCATTAAATGTGGGATACTTCCCCCACCCCCCCCCCCCCGTCCCATTTTGTTTTCCTATACTTTCATTAATATGCTCTAGTTTACATCATACAGTAAGAGCCATGTGCTATGCTCCTAAGGGTCAAACACAGCCTGAAGACCCAGCAAAAAGACTTTCAGTAACATTTTACCAAAGCCAGCCACAGGCTGCTGAACGGCTCACATCCACCAGGTATGCCAGCAAACCCCTAGCCTGGCCTTCACCTCGTTTCCCACCACAGCAAGCAAGTAGGAAACAGTGACAGGCACAGCGTACAAGGTTTGTTTCCATTCATCCAAAACCAGAAATGCTGGAGGTCCTGCTGTTCCCTTCCTTTTGAAGCGTCATACAAACTCCTCCTATGTGAGGAACAGGAGTTCTCATTGAAGAGTCTCACCTCATTTTCACTGACAGAAAACCTTGGCATTCATTGCATTTAAGACAAATGTTAACAAAAAGGACTTACCAGTGTGAGTCTTTTTTCCCCCCGACAAGACGGCCAGATACTCTCAATATATCAATATCTCAATGATATTCTGAAGCTATTAAGTCCTTAGGAGTGTCTGTGATGTCATTCACAGCTTTTTTTTTAAAAACTATTTATTAGACTAAAGCAAGAAATGTCATCTGCATTTGGCTCCAATCCATCAACTGACAGCTCTTCTCTTGCAGGGGAATTTAACTTAAAGATTAGCTGAATTTTGTGCAGCTCATTTTAGAAAACTAGAATTACCAGTGAAATTCTCCAGCATGTAATAATCATCTTCTCATCAATGCATATGTTTTAACTACCTAATTATTGCCATATTTATATTACTCCCTGGATTGGGAACTGGTATTTAATTACAATATTTCACTAGTGCTTGTATATCCTTAAATCTGCAGCACAGACATGCTAATTATAATTAACTTTGCAGAAGGTCCAGTGTTAAAAGATTCAGCTCTCTCACTCAGCCTTCTCAGAGTTCTACAAGTCAAAAATTGTCTGATGCATGGTAAATAATGCAGGCCCTGTTTATTGCATGCTGTGCGCAATTTTATTTTGGAATTACAAGCCTCCTTGCCAAAACCATCGTTGATTCTCAGGCTTCAAGAGAGTAATTGGTACCTCATATTCTCCCCTTTTTTGCACCAATTAAAACCTGCAGGTGCACTAATGTTGTCATCTGGAATCTTGCTGGTACATCAGAGGTGATTTTCACCAAATGTGTGCTATTAGTAAAATCTCCCCATCAGGGGAACTGTGAACACTCTGTTTGTTGTTACAGCGCTCTCAAGGCCTTCCAAATATCTTACAAGTGCAAGACCAGACAATAAATTTTTTACCTCTAAAGTAAACACAGGGTGTTATAAAAACTAAGTTCACTTGGAAATATTACACTTAATATATATTTGAAACAGGTGAATAATTTCTTCAGGACTGTCTCAGATTTAAAGGCCAGACATGACTGTTAAGGTCATCTAGGATCTCCCACTGAACACAGACCACAAAATTTATCTTTAGTTCTCCTGAAACGCACTCTAGCTCAGAGAGAAGATGTGCTTAAAAAAAGAAAACAACAAATAAAAGACACTCATCAATCTTGAGGTAGATAGCAGAAAGCAAGAGCCATTGATGTCAGTAGCAAAAATACCCTTTGTTTTAAAAGATCTGATACCTCACTTACAGTTCCAGTGAAGGAAAAATCCACTTTCATTTTGCAAGTTTTTCCACTGACTAACTACCCACACTACAAAAGGTCTTCCTTGCACCATGAGACAATGGCACAGAAGTACCATAAGCACACTGGTCAAAAGTTCCCCAAACCCATCATTACAATTCTCTTTTCTTTTTCTTTTCCAGTCTACTAAACGATGGGACTACAGTAGGCATTGTATACTATATGCAGGGCAATGTATCTACTTTTATGAGGAACAAAGATCACTTTAAGTCATGAGCTCTCAACAATACTCGCTCAACTAGAATTTGGAAAACTGAACACTGCCATCACTTCTTGAAGGATCTCCCCTCCCCAGCCTCTACAGAGTAGCGTCAAATATCTCCATTTTATTTAGCTTTAAAGGTCAGTCCTCATTTAAGACCCAACCGCAGTCTTACTAAAACCTTGCTAGACTTTGGTTAACTATTTAATCATTGAAAGAACTATTCTTTGGCAGCGTATTTTACGGCTTAAGAGACTTAACACTGAAACAGTAGGACATCCAACACTTAAGTGCAGAGAGGTTTCTGTTCAAAAGTCTATGGCACATAGCCCTGAAAAAGTTTACTTTGGTCCCAAGTCCTTCACCTCTAACAAGGTGTCTTGTCTGAGTAAGATGCCTGAAGTAATTAAGGGATTAGTGATACCTCCAGGGTACAGTCTTATTTTGTAAAAAGCAGCCAGGAGCTGTACATTCTCAAAAGAATGGGACTCCAGAGGAATTCCCTGTTTTCCAAATATGAAGAAGATAATACCATCCAAACGGATTTGGGCAGACTGGTAGTGTAACAGGGCAGGGAACAAGGCCACGGCATCCTTTAACGGCACACACCTCCTACCATCTGCGGAGGGGCAATGTTTGTACCAGACCCTCATTCTGAATATAGAAAAGAGAAAGGACGTTCCATCCATGCTCCCAGCTGCTTCCAGGGCACCTGTAAAAATGCCTGTCCCAATCCAGCCCTCTACCAACTCTGTCAGTTTTACAGAAATTAAGAACTCAATAACATTTGAAAATGTTAGGAAAAAAACCCAAAAATTTGAAAATAACTTTTGAAAATGCCTTTAAATAGTTTGCTCATTTTAACAGTTGTTGAACTGAACAGAAAAAAGTTAAGAAATTACTGAATTATTAAGAACTTTTTACTGCCAGAGATGACTATAAATTGTACAATGAACAAGCGTGCACCTGGGAGGGAATTCTGTTTTCACAACATGCAAAACTGATTAAGTGGTAGCACTTTTCCTGAACACATGTGCACACCTCAAAGGGAAACACATTGTTTAATACTCTCAAACACTTCTTATTTCACCATTAACCATTAAGCATGTACAGAACTGAATAAGGAAAAAACCCAAACGAACAAAAAGTATCAATAAACATAAGAGGTTGTAAAAGCCATATAGACAAATGCAGTATTAAGTTGATCCTGACTTAATAAACTCCACATGAAAAACATAAGTCATGCTTTGACTGAACTTTACGGACTTGATTTATATATATAATTACTTTAAGAGAGTACGAGGCAGTATTGCCATCAGAAGTTGAAAATAATCCAAAAATGCAGCCCTCTTATCAACTACTGTCTGGGCCACTTAGGAGAGGGTAGAGTTCGTTATTTTTCCTCCTGAAGTGGAATTCTGTAAATGTCACTTGGGTCTACAGGAGATTTCCTTGAAATGCTAGATAACCCTTCTTACACTGCAACTGGAAAGAGGTGTGTCTGGGAGTAGGGGGAGAGTATCTGCTTATTTCTTCTACCTCATGAATTGTCAGCACCTATGCTGAAACACACTTGGACACACCTAAGCTGGGTCACCACCACCAAAGATATTTCTACATAAACCAGGCAGAGCACACAAACAATTTGGGCAGGGTTCTGTTCTGTTACACAAGGGCTACATGTTACACTCCACACCACACTCTGAAAGACTAAATTCTCAAACAGATTTGTCAGTTAATTGCTTTTACATGGTGTAACTAGGATCAGAGTCAGACCACCTAACTTTCAAATACCAGATTAGAACTGGATGTTAACTACACATCTGTGCAATTTTTTTTTAATAGATCAGCTTGTGAACTGAATAAACAAGAATCCTGCTATCTCATTTTCACATTTTAGAGTATCACCAGCTTTACCTTGCTTACGCTGAAGGCTCCAGTAAAGCCTCCAGGGCCTAAAGCAGGAAGGACAAACTCTAAAACATCGCAAAATGTTGTCATGTTTTGTAAAAACAAAAGCTTTGGTGTTTACAGGCAAGAAAAGGTCTTCATTTTCTGCAGGATTCCACAGCTGCCAAGATGTCTTGCAAGATGCTGTTTCTGTTTTCCTTACTAACCTAGAGAAAGAGAAATTAAAACTGATATAATCTGATGAATAACCTCTATATCAGTCTTTACTTCAAAAACAAACAAAGCAGAATTTCAAATGCATTTCTTTCTCAGTGGAGGAATGTTGAGTGTCAAACACCTGCCTTCTGCTACTGAGAACACAGTATTAAAACCACAAACCTGCATATGTAATTGAACATTCAATGATATTTTTTTTTATTTAATTACCCATGGTATTTTGCAGTATTATTCAGGGCTTGAATACCTAACACGAATCACTTGAAGAACCAGCATGTACTTTTGTCATTACTAGAAATCCTTTTCATTTGCCAAATATAATTTTGCTACTATAAAGTGGAGTTCTTATGCCTTCAGTACTCGAAAGGGTTGTGTTTATTAGGATGATAGACCTAGTCAAAAACATCTGCAATAAAAAAAAAAATTACAAAGGGCTTAGCAGCACATCTCAGTATTCTGAGAAACCTTAGCATTGCAGGATAGAAACACCTTGAAAAAGAAGTAAGACTACTTGAGAAAGCTGGGGGGGCTTTTGTAGCACACTGAAGTATGTCTTTAGTTCACCAGTCTGTGGTCAAGTGAAAAATCCATATAGTCCAGTGTCTTGTGTTTTGCTGGGTCCATCTGCATTGCAGCACATGATGATTACTGTAAACTGCTGAGCAGATGCTAGCACTCGCTAGTCAGCTCAGCTCCAAGGTGCAGCAAAAACAGAGCACAGAGTTGGCAGTGGGGTGGGGAGTGGTGTAAATTACCCCTTCTTGATAGATCTGGTCCTGATACAGAGCCCAGCGACCCATGGTGCCATGCACTACTAACTCAACCAAAACCTGGGGAGGTGGCTGGGGTGGTGAAAGGGTTAACAAGCAATTGTGAAGTGTCAGCAAAAGCCTCATTTAAAAAAAGCCTAAGAAACTTTCCCCACTGTTCAGATCCCTGCAGAGAGGGCAGGAAGAAATCAGACAAAAACAGATGAGCCAAAAAAAAGTAAGGGCATTTATATTTTTAACAAAGTTTGAGAAGTGCTGTTTAACGAGGAAGGAGAGGCGCCACACTACGCATGGCATCAAACTCTCTACCAGCAAGGCCTCGCTGCATTCCCTGTAGCTGCTTTTATCATCTGTGCACAAGGGTTTGTATCTCTTCCAGTACGACAGTCAATACTGAATAGGAGAAAGTATTATTATTTCTAAATAGGTGACTGTCCTACCTGAAGAATTTGGCCCTCAGAGCCTATTGCTCTTTATGGTCATGGAGACTGTATCCAAATGCTGGAAACCAACACTGTAAAACCTAGAGATAGTCTATGCCACTTGAATTCAAGAGAGCAGATCAACACGGGACTGATGAAAAAATGACATTAAAAAAAAGCAACAAAAGGGAAGATCTGGCTGAAAATGTTGCTGTTTTTATTGAGTATCATTCCAAGCCTCTTATAAGATAAACAGAACACCCCACAATAACAAAGAGAGCAAGACAACAAAGAATGGAATTGCTCTTCAGTAAGGCTATTGAGAGACCTCAAGGCAAACCAGGCACAGAGCACAGATGAGCCAAACTCTAAATCTCACAGCAAGTGTCCTGATATCCTGACTTTCAAAGGACCTTCTAAACATTTAATAGCTCTTCCCACTGTCTCACAGCCAACACAAACAATACTACATTTTATCTATCCCTTTTCCATACCTACATGCCAGAAGTCCAGTGAGAGCAGCAGAGAGAAAGTGCCAAGCGCTGGGAAATTTTCACAACTGTTTTACAAAGGCTGCTTGATAGATATGTCTCCTCTTAAGATCTGGAGACACTCTGTGCAGGCAGTTTTCCCAGAGAGAACAAATCTCCCAGTATCTGTACTGAATGTACAAACAGATGGGTAGATTTTTAGACAGGGAGTTGAAAATAACTGTAGATGCTGCGTATACTAAGCATTTAGGTAATCTGGAGGAAACTACCAGCTAGACTCCAAGTAGGCAACAGTAGAAGACAAAAGCTTTCTTCCCCTAAACTGTTAAAAGTACTGTCAAGGAAACTCCTCTTGTACAGTCTGTTCAAATGGAACCTTTTCTTCTTCTAATCCACTTAACTACTTATTTTCTTTCTTAAAAGGTATATGCAACCAAACTGCACTAATGAGCTTCATGGAAGCAAAATTAGTAGATGGTAAAATGGGAAAAAATGAGTATGTGCCAGCTGCTAAGGATAATCTGATCCTATTTATGACACCGTGTCTGCAAAACTACACAGACCCAGGCAGTGCAAAAAGAGCCTCTGTAGTTTCACTGGAAAGTTTAGTTCTCAGCAAAATGGAATTGGGCAACAAAGGAAAAAAGTGTGTTAAATATCAGAGCTCCTCTCATTAAGTGCTCTACACATAATAAATTAAACATTTGGGACCAAATCCTCAACTGCTTTTAGGGCATCTGGGCCCACTCACACCAACTAAATATGCCTTCACGACAGAAAGGACTGTAAAACCCCAAACAGCTGTCTCTAAGCACGTAGCATCAAACATCAGAACCGTCCTTGTGACACTAAGAGAGAAGGATGACAAAACCCCGCGGAGTTACCTGAATGCAGCCTAACTCGTTATTAAGTGACAAAGCAGGCAGAACTGTTTTGAACAGCAGCCACCTACTTCTGCACACTTCCAGGCACCATAAAAGTTAGTAAGAAATTACTGGCCACAAGCTATTTGGGTACTCCAGGTTTTCTCTGTGCCACAGCCCTTGAAGAACATAGTTGGTGATCCAGTATTTACTTCAACCAGTAACAGCTCTGACTCCCCACAGGCAGGTTCTGTTCCTGCTCATGCACGTGTTTTAACTAGCTGGGAAAGAGCATGCAGCATGTCACTGGTGCAAGTGAGACAGATGCTCTCCTGCACAAGGCTTTAGCACGGCAGGTCTCTGCTCTCTGGGAACTACTGGAGCCCGTCACACATTTCACAGCCATGCTTTTGGCTAAGGGATTCACCAGAGCACTCTATTTGAACAAAGAAACCTGCATATCCTAATCTCAGCAGCACAAACAGGATGGCTTCGTTTTTTAGCTACAGAAAACACTGCTCCATTGAAATTTACAGGAAGACTTTAGCCAGCTGTAGTCAGTACTTAAGAGAAAGATATACTGGCAGACTGATACAGCTAACAACCCACGGCTGAGGGGCACAAGCTCTCAGAACATCACCTGATAAAAAGAGACAGCGGAAGCCTCAACAGCTTCCTTGAAAAGCCAAATGCTGTTTTCTAGAACTGTTTCCTCCTCTGAGAGGACCAAACCCACGCTATTGCCTTGCCGTAACTGCAGCCTAAGCACCGAATGACTGGTACTTTTCAGTGAGGCATTTTCCCTTCCCTCAACCGTAGGAGCGGAATGCTTACGTGAGAAAAGGAACCTTCTCTCATCTTTGCTCCCAGGATTGCTTTAGCATTTAATTAAACAGGCATTTAATTTAAAAAACAGAATTGAAGATGATGTTAGGACCACCAGCTAAAAGAAAGCTGAGGAACTTTTCTGAGCACTGCAGTTTTGCTAATCTCACTTTGAAGAGGAAAAAAGAAGACAGAGGCTTTGCTTTCTCTGCAGTCATTAAGATCATTCACTGTTGAGATAAGTGTTTTTTCCTTCCTCATTCACTTTGATGAAAACAAAGTAAACATTCTCACTGTGACCTCCATCTGATAAAGAACAGGTTGCAACAGTATACTGCTCTACAGCATATTACCCCTGTTAGTAAGCCAGGATGTGTAAGTCTCACTGAATTTACAAACTATAGATGCACAGTTCAGTTTTGGATATCTAGCTTTATTCTCTACTACAAATAGCACAAATTGAGCAGAAAAATAAATCAAAGGAGTGGAGGCTGCATCTAGCTTGTTTTTGTGAAGCATCCAGGATACACAGACACTAAGGAGACCTCATGCATGTATTGTTGTGAACAGGCTATATTTTGTTGGGGCAAGTTTTTGAGAACCTCTCTGGAACCGATCAGAAATGCACTTTGAGGCTCTAATATTCTGAAAACTATGCCTATAAAAATAACATAATGAATTCCAAAACTGGTTCACTGACTCCAGAGAAAGCACAGTCCATTTACAAGTGTCTTTCTTCTAGAAATCATTTCTACAAACTCCACTGCTGCCTTTTTTACATGAATATGATTACTAGTAATATTTCTACAAGCCAGTCTGAAAAAAAAATAATTTAAAATCTGACTGTACTTTAAAAGATTTAACTCTTAGTAATAATGAATACTTATACGGCAATAATACTACAGCAAGAAAACCTTTTCAAACAACTGTATCATTACTTCTACAGCTCCTCACAAGCAAAGCCAGCTGTGTGACTGCTACAGTAAGTGCCAACTGTGATTTTTTTTTTAATAAGGTGAACACCTGCCCATTAAGAATAAAATGGAAACTAAAAAGCTTATTTCATACAAGCTACCCACAGCTATCAATCGGCACCAACGATTAGTTTTTAAACAGAGCCAGCTACAAACCAGCAACCTAGAACAGAAGGCTCTTAAAGGATATTTAATATTACTCACAGTGAACACTTTAACATCTTTCCTACTTCTTATTTCTTCAACAAGATCCAGTGGCTTTCCCTTGGGTATAGGAATAGTTCCAAGTACCATGGTTCCTGAGCCAGCCAGCGTTTGACGAACAGCTTGAATAAAAGCCTGGCTGAAGAGTTCCATTTTACCGATCTCATCTATGACACAGATTTTTTTCTCTGCATTACTGCCATGGTTTACCTGGGGAAAAGTGCATTAAGAGACTGTAAACAACACAGAATAAGCAACAGAAATAATTTCTATGCTGCTAAAAGAAATTCCTCCAAAAGGAATCAATTAAATTGTAATACTGGGGAAAGTGGAAGAGTCAAGGCTGCTGCTGGTAACTGACAGACTTACAAATCTACCTTTTTTATTTCAGCACAGATTTTCGGAAAGATGAGAATGTATGTACAGCATAAATACCAACTACAATAGGAAGTATCCATAACATTAGTTTTCAAAGCAGAAATCTCACAGTGGTCCCATATGGGCTTAATTTGACAATTAAGAACTGCAGTTTGCCTACTAGCAGCTCTCAATCTGAGGGACACCAATTTTCCAAAACGTCACTCTTCCCATCAAATTACGCATTCAGAAGAGATCAACATCCACACAACACAAGTACTGAAAAAAAAAAAAAAAGTCTTGCATCAAATCTAGATTTGGAAGTTTGTATCTGGAACAAAGGAGAGTCAAAACTAGCATTAATCAGAATCACTAGCTTTCCTCAAAGCTATCTGGCTAAAAACCAAGCTTCTTCCAAGCCTCTCACACCAGAACAGTTGTCTTCCATTTCTTTCTTGAGATACAGCTTATTCTATAATCCCCCTGGATTGTAGGATAGGCACCATACTAGAGATTAATCATGTTTGTGGTTTGTTTAGTGTGCCAAACAGTACCATGCTGCAGACTGGTGTGGGCAGTAGGGAAGTCTAGGAGACAACATGGGTCACAGTCACCAAGGGAATATATATATATATACACACACCAATACCAGTCATTTTATACAGAACCTAAATAAATAAATAAATAAATAAATAAAATCAAAATGTTTTCCCTTGTGAAGGCAAAGTATTTGCTTCTGGGAAAGTGGAAGAACTGTATAACATGCATCTTAAAATCTTTTCAAGTTAAGTCCCTGCTGAGTAGCTGTTTAATCTAAAATCCTTTCATAGATCAGTGAGCTAAAAAGCCAATACTAGTCACGAGGTCACACAATGAGAAAGAGAGCATTTTGCTTTGAAAAAATCCTCAGTCCTGCCTGGTAAAGTTTCCAAAACCAGAGAGATCATCCATTGTGGGATCTACCCCTGTTCTCACTGGAGAGAATGAGGGCCAAGCCTTAGGAGCTGAAGCTGTCCTCAAGGCTACATGGGCACACGTCTACTCCATGCTGCTCTCTGATCAAACCAGACCATACCTATGGCTCTCATGCCCTCATTCTTCTTTTGTCTCTTCTTGTTTCAGTTCTGTGATCTTCCTCACTCTTTTCCTCTCCCATTTTGTGCTGTGTACATGCATGAACACACTCCCACAAAACTGATTAAAAACACTTTCAACGAGAACAGGGTCATGCACTGTCCGACCCTGCTGCTCTCTTTTCTTCTTCTCTTCACTCTCTTGTACTTGCAGAAAGCTATACAACAACCAGAAAAATTCAACACTGCTAGCACCCTTCTAGCCAGATCTCTCCTGGACTTCACATTAATGCGGCAGTAAAAGGATTCCAAATACAGCGCTGGCTTAATGAAGTTGTCTTTATTAAGCTATCCTTCTGTTTACTAACATAGTAACTCAAGTTACAGTAGAATTGAACATAAACAAAATTGTCCCATTTTATGCAGGTTTCCTTTCTCCCTTGCCCCAACGTTGTCGCTTCCCTACTCTCGGACTTCAGTGTTCCTTGACAAAAACAAGAATCAGATCCTCAATCCCATTTTTGCTCCTTGCACCTCTTTGGCTTTTTGTGCTTTCAAAGTTCATCAAGAAGTCCCTTCCTCCTTGGCCCCTTGAGCTTTGGCAGTGTAGAAAAATCACCACAGGATTCTTTTCAGTAGTACAGCTCAGCAGTTGCTGCACACTGTGATGTTACTTGCTAAAATCAGATCAGTTCTTGTTTAAATTTGGAGAGGAGAAAGGTTGGAATGACAGAGAAGAGCGATAAGGAAAAAGAAATAATAATAAAATATTGCTTGCACTATTGTAAGAGAACGATAGGAGAAGGATAGGAAAAAGATTGTGTGGAAAGTCTTGTCACAGTCAGAGCATTCCTTGTGCAGCAGGCTAAATCCCAAAATATCAGGCTGCTATTACCAGTTAAAACGTACCAGTCTCCAGATATACAGTGGTAATCAAATATAACCACTGGATTCAAGAAACAAATGCTTCTACCAGAAGATGGGAATTAGAGCAAAAAAGTGAAAAAAGATGTAAAGAAGAGGAGCAGCAGCAAAAGCCTTTTACTTGGACCCACCGACTCCACCCAGTTCTGTGTGGTAAGCCACTCATATTTTGTTTGCTTTCCAATATGCAAGATGGTGGCATAGGAAGAAACTTCCTATTGGCCATTTCAGGCCAAGGAGGGCCTGCTCACAGGACGATGTCAGATCAAGAAAGAGAGGGGATTGCAATCTCTCAAGCACCACAATAAGCACAAGAGAACAAGACAGATTTCCCCCTCCAGCTTCCTGATCCTGGAGTCAATCAGAATCAGCAAAACCCAAGAAACAGACCATTTATTAGTATTAAAAACTAGTGCTCTACAACCATCTTCCAATAACACTGATTACTACAAAACATTCATTTTTCAACAGCTTTCATAAAATACTCACATTTCTCAGCATAGGTAGAACCAACTGCTCAAACGAAACAAGGTCTACGACATATTGTCCAACCCGGTATTCACGTCTTGAAGTAGAAGAATCAGAACTGAATTTGAAAAAGAGATACACAATTCCTTCTAAGTAAGTTTAGTGAGAATTCACTGTAGCCATTTCAAGTGGATTTATGAGAAGACATCCTAATAAGTCAAATCCCCTTAATTCCTCTAAGAAAAGGAAAGAAACTCTGTAAGCCATGCATTAAGTCATATTGCAGATAGCATACTTCCAGATAATAAATATACCATAAGCTATCTTCACAACTATGTAAGCTCGAATTTGAGCACTGTATGGAAGGATAATGGGATCTAAAAGCCAGCAGGTATATTTACACTGAAATCAAAATACATGCCTGCAGTTCAGATCTTTGATTTTGGTAAGGTGACACTACAGACAGCATCACAGCAGTAGCCCAAATCTCAGCACGGGCTGCAAAACCCTGAAACAACCTTTGAAAAACATTCAGACAGTTTGCATGTGCTGCCTCACACTATCCCAGGTGAACCTCCTTTATGAGCAGAATGCAAATTATTTAGTCAGATCAACTATGTTTGAATGAGGTGCTAACGTCACACCTGGACCCAGACTAAGTTCTGCACAAAGCATGAAAAGCTAAGCCTAGTGAATGAGGAGAGACTGTGTGCCTCTCTCTACTTCAGAGGGCTCTGAAACTCTCTTTTTCTTTAAATTTACATGTGGCATTTATGGGCCAGTCAGTAGCTCTTTAAAACAATGTTATATGCATTTTCCCTTTTATTTTTCACTTCTGTCCCCATAAATTAGCCGATGGAAACAAAAAAAAAAATCTTCCTCCCTGCCTACAATAAGCTACTGACCGTATCCCAAAGAGACTTGGCCTCACAATAAAAGGCTCGTCAGTGCTTCTTCTCTAATCTGGTGTAAAATAGTCAGTAAGAGAGAACAGCCTTTTCTAGCACATTTTCAATATTTCACTACGCAATAGAGACACTGTCTACATACACGATACAGGTATCAGCCAGGACATGAGAACTGAACAAAGAACCTGTCCACGAAAGCCCTATGTGTGCTGGAAATGACATTCTGGAGGAGCATTTAACATGCTGACAGACTGGGGCAGAAACATAAAACAATAAGCCCCTTACAGTTCTTAAAACCTCAGTACCTGACTCTAGATAAAGGTCCTCGTTTTCCAGACAAAGTGACAACATCAAATCCTGTTCTCCTGCCACCTTCTCTAACTTCCTCTGTGTAAAATCCATCAATGGGAATGCCGGAGGATTTTAGAGCTTGAGTGACTTTCTGGATCAAAGTAGTCTTTCCAACTCCTAAAAATAAAGAAGAAACAAAAAGCATACAGGATTAATCTTCTTCTACACTAAAAGCCC